ACATCGAAGCCAGAAACCAGTAACCAAAACATGTGACGAGCGCGGTTCCAATCAAAGTACCGTCTTTCTTTAAAAGGTCAGTTACACATGTACGGATGAATTCATGACGCTAACCAACTGATATCCACTTGTTTTCATGCTGAAATGCAGCAAAATGACTAATGTAAAGACGAGCATCAGTGGGCCATAAAGTTCCTCATCGATTCTCTGAAACATTTCCCGGTACTGTACCATTTGAAGAAACCTCAAAAAAACTCACCTTTTTAAAATATTCCGGTTTTTGTGGAATGAACGAAAACAAAAATCTTCGCGAAACCTGAACTACATCGGTATCGAAGTAAGGACGAAAAAGATCAATGCTCGTCCAAGTTACGAAGGCCTGCTTGACTTGAGTACTTCCGGCCTCCCATACCTTAACAACAGATCATGTGAAACAACAGCTTTCGGCGTTGCTCTCAGACCAAGTGAGTCAAGTTTCCTTTCAAAGTCGAATAGATGTCTTCGTCATCTATATTTGTCGTAATCGGCCTTCGGCGAGTGTCGGTGTCTTGATTTGCAGAAGCGAAAACCATGTTTTCTTCCATATCAGGAGGCATTTCGGTGATCAGAAAAAAATACTCTGAATACTGTATATAAAATTGTACGACTTCGTGGGATAACTATACTAGAACGTGTGGTACGCTATCGTAACCCCTAGTTCATAACGTCCGTCTGAATTTTTCAATGAGAAATATTAATTTTCTTAATCGTTTATGCACCCGTATAATTCTTCTATTCTACAAGATTTGTAAACGAAATGATTCCTCTTCTTGCTTATTTCACGTTAGTTCCATTAAAAAATATGTCAATCTCAGTCTTAAAACGCACCCTGAGAGAAAGTACCGTAAAAGGATTTCTCATTTATGGTACTGCATTCCAGTCACTGAAAGGGTATTACTTCTACTTTACTGGTTAAGCAGAGCAGCAATCAATCCCATTATAAAATGGCAAATCTAGCGAATTTCATTAAATCCTACCGCAGCTTAATAACTCCTATAAATAGTGTAGTAATACCATAGTAATTTAACCTTGTGATAGGGAAGGAGACCGTGGCACAGTGGGTTAGTAGTTAGCTTTGAGCTACAAAAGTTACGGGTTCAAACTCAACGCGAGGCGTAAATTTCTCAAATTAACTGTTAATTCGTCACCCATTTGTGCTTCGCGCAACCAGCCGAAAAAGGATTAGAATGCTGTTAACTGGCAAATTATAAGGACAGCAATGTATTTTGGACTAATAGCTAATAGTTAACTCAAGTTGCAAATATAAATGTAAAAAATTTACATGTATAACATTTTATGATTGCTGTCTTCGCTAA